TCCCCCAACTTCCAATGATATATAAGTAAGTCCTCAACTTCCATTTTATACCACCTTAACCCTCAATTATCTTAAATATAAAATAAGCCCCAAGAAAATAAATTATTCCAATTAAGTTCATATTGACCTTGACCTTGACAAATCAACCATTGACTTTTGACTAAAAATTTGAGATGTAACAATTTCAATCAGGTAAAAACAGAGGATGAACTGGTAGAAGCAATAGCAGCGGCTAGAGGTACATATAAGGATTCCCTGTGTTTCATCGAAGTTTTTGTGCACAAAGACGATACTAGCAAAGAATTACTGGAATGGGGATCACTTGTTTCTTCTTCAAATAGTCGACCTCCTAATCCTCAATAGTCATTTGGTGCATCTGAAAGCTACTTCAGCGAATGATCCGAGAAACTGGAAATGGAATTTTAATATCCTTGTTATTGTTGAGTGTTGTGTTTCTAATGAGAAGATTGAATAATTGGTAAATATATGGTACCATGCATGGATTTCAGCTTTCAACTTCAAAATATGTTTACAACTTATTTATTAAAAAATCAGGTCATAATTCAAATGTTTAATATTGATAATAATAATATTAAATTAAATTAATCTACCCACCCTACAAACCCAATTCATTTTCAAAACCTATTCATTACCACCTCCATGGCCACTTCAAACCACAACTCTTCACAGTGCACCCACTTTGATGACTCTTCATGGCGCGCTCACTCCGGCGAATCTTCACGGCGTAGTAATGGCATTCCTTCGTGCAATGTAATCCTCTGTGCTAGACATCGTTGCTTCGTTTGCTACAAGGCAGATATGCTCTTTTGTTTCTTTATGATTTATTGGAAGTGGATGCAATGGAGTTTTCGTTTGTGGTGGTCAATGGTTTTTTTTTTTTTTGTGCTTTTTGTGGAAGTTTGAGGTGGTTTGCGATTGTTGCTGCACAAAGCATGCACCAACGATGGTGCGATGGTGGTTTTGCACTAGTTTGATGATGGTGCGGTTGTGGTGTGATGTGTGGCACGATGGTGATTTTACAGTTGCTGTGGTGGTGTTGTGTGGTGCAATGACGGTGCTGGCGGTTAGGATGAGATGGGGCGAAGTTCGGTGGGTACCCATGGTGGGAGGAGTGTGATTATTTGGATGATTGTGACTAATAAAATGGTTAATTTATAAACAATAAATAATGTGACTTAAAAAATATAAAATTACGACTAAATTTGTAATCGTGACTCATAATTTGTTAAGTTACAATCAATTCATTTCATAATTTGTAACCTAAAAATAACTTGTGACCAATTAATTTGTTAATTTATGACCGTGAAACAAATTGTGACCTATAAAAATTTTGTTTTGTGATCTAGAAATAATTATGTGACCGATAAATAAATTGTGACTTATAAAATTTGTGATTTATGATCGAGAAATAATATATGATCAATTAATTTAATCATTTGTGATCGATAAATAAATTGTGACATGAAATTTGTGATTTGTGGCTATAACATTTTCAGATTGTAACTAGTAATTAATTGTGATCATAAATTGTATAGTATTGTGACCTTCACATGATTAATTAATAAAAAATTTTTAATTATTTATTTTAATTAATAAAATTTAATTATAATCTGATTTTTAATGATTTAAAACATGTTTTTTAATTTTGAAATTTAATCACCTTAAATGTGTGTTGTATTATTGTTGGGAAGAATACATAAATTAGCCATTTAGTTTTACATATTTCAAAAATACCAAAACATGTTTTAAATTTCAAAAATCAGGTTTCTTTATAATTTTAATTATGAAATAATAATTATGAATTTAATTTATTATTAATATTTAATTCTACTATAAAATAATTAACCAACCCCCACCTCCACCACCCCTACAATTCCGGGGGTATTCTGGCGACCGTTCCGGTCACCACTCTTCTCCGGCCACCGTTCCGACGACTTTTTCGGCGACTGATCCGATTCCAGCGAATAT